ATGGTATTTCAACTGTCTTTCAATAAATGGAACTTAAACTCTTTTGTTAAAAGCCCTATGAGAAATTTCAGCAATACTTGAACAAAACCATGTCTCACTCTTGGCGCCAGTATATGTCTTCGTTGAAAAGACGAGAGAGAGAAAGAGAGAGAGAGAGAGAGAGAGAGAGAGAGAGAGAGAGAGAGAGAGAGAGAGAGAGAGAGAGAGAGAGAGAGAGAGAGAATACTGCATTTAACTGTTTTTAATATATTCAGTACCTGCACATATTTCTTGCTAATATTAGAGTAATAATTTGTATATTTGCCAATGCAAATAATTATCATTCATGTAAAACTTTAAAGCTTCGATCGGTATTCCATACAAAGGAATACAAATCGGCATTCTCAAAAACTCATATTTACAATAAAAAGGAGTAACTTATCCAGTAACTGAGGAGTCTGATATGAAAAAAATGATGCTTACGTCTCATATTGAAAATGGAAAGCCTAAAGTATCACTGATAGGAAACACAACTTTGTGAGGAAACTTTAAGGTACTTATATATATATATATATATATATATATATATATATATATATATATATATATGTATATATATATATATATATATATATATATATATATATATATACATACATATATATATATATATATATATATATATATATATATATATATATATATATATATATATATATACTATATATGTATATAGCATATGTGTGTATTATACATACACACTATACATACATTATAAATATTTATATACATATACATCATCACTACAACTGAACTTTAAGCCATGTTTCCAAAAGCTTTTCATTGCCTTCATTAATATCAAACTAGGCAATAAACATACATTTTTCTTTCAGTATTTTACATGTTATCCATTTCCGCTGTTTTAATTGCGATATGGGCTTCACACATTAATTCAAATCAGTTACTAAATGCTGGAATGCGAACATTTTTCGAAGATGCTTCTACACCACAGAGAGGAGTGCTGTGGCCATTCCTGAGGGTCTGTGAGTCTGGGGCTATTTCCCGGCACTCTCTCTCTCTATATATATTTTTTTTAATCACTCATTCTTTGATACTTATTTTAACGGTACAGAGACCATTTTGCGATGCACGATTTTTTGAAATACACACACACATATATATATATATATATATGTATATTATATATATATATATATATATATATATATATATATATATATATATATATATATTTCTTTGTGTAGCTTTTAAGTCATTGTCATTCTTTCATACTTTCATACTTGTCTTGTTATAACCTTGAACGCAGTATCGAATTCAGGGACTGGATTCTCACACTCATTCTCACACCTTTCAAACACCTCCATCCCCCATCGGAAAAATAAAAATAAAAGCAAAGGAAAATAATAAATCATTCCTGCTATAAACACTGCCTTATTTGCACATCCACAAATTTACTGGCTGACATATTCAAAATTGTTTTGATTCACTTTGCCAGCGCTGGCACGTGTGGTTATGACCGATGCATAAATATTGTTAAAAAAAATTATCAAACGAAAAAAAGAAAATAAAATAAAAACGATCTCACAAGGCAATCGAAGGTCAAGCAGTAACCGTGACTTTCTCGAGGACACTGCGGTCTCATCCAAACATCCCTTGGCAACATCTATCTTTTTATGACTATGCATTTACGTGCAATTTCATCCTCTGGGAGGATGAATAAGCACATTCTACATGACCTCTAAGTTGTTTGGTTTTAAGAAACCAGTTCTTTCGTTATTTTTCTAGCAGAAGTTGAAGATTCTGCCGAAAAAATGAAAACAGATTTAGGTACAAACTTGATTGGTTTCTGTTTCTGTCTGTTTCTCCCTCACACACACACACACACTGCATTCTGGTTAAAACTTATATCAAATTGAAACAAGTGACACCACACATAAAGCTCAATAGATAATAAACTACGGTTTGGATCAGTTTGGTCATAGTTTTGCAGCAGTATGTAAAGGGAAGGTAAAACGTTTTAAGAAACAGCCACAAGGAGTGATCAAACAAGCCACAAGGCATTTTTATACTTTTAAGTGCCGATATTTACTGTTTGTAAACAATGTAATGGTATGTCAGTGATACAAGATGTCGGGTGGTGATATGCAGAGATGACTGCCGCTGTCTGCCAAGTGGCTGATCAACTTATATAGACCGTAGTTTGCGACTCATGATCTTCTAAGTCGGGTCGCAGTTGTCTATTCCATTTTGGTAGATGACATAGAAAACGTAATATGGTCCAATCGAAACGACGCACTTCGAAACGACTTCGACCGATATGTGATACTTGTTTGATAGTTGTTAATATTTCTTCTTTATAATCCTTTAAAAGTTTATGGTCCCAATTTTACTATTATCAATACAGGAGAAAGGAAACTTCTTTGCCAAGTAATTCCTGGGCAAATTTGAAATAAATAATCTATACTAACGACTAGTCAGTGTGCGTGTGCTTTTTTATGAACAAATTGTAAAAAAAAAAAAAAAAAAAAAAAAAAAAAAAAAAAAAAAAAAAAAACACGAATATGCCGAAAAACTTTCCGCTTTATCACTTCGGCCAAGCACGCCCAGTTAATTCGTCTCCCTACTCTGCTGTTGCACAACTAAAAGGTCGAGATAATGGTCGAGAATTCCTTCGAAGGCGTGGCGCCAGATGAACTCGTGGCTAAGGACGCAGTGGGACTGAAACGCCAGTCTGAATAAAGTGTTACCAACACTCCTAGACAGTTTCGTGGTCAACCTAGCCATATTGCTAAGGAATGTACTACCCGGACAATCCCCGTCGAAGCAAGACCGCAAGAGAAAACACTTGCAAAATATGGAGGCATCTGCATCTGCATGAAGAGATGAGAGTACAAAGAGGTATTTTCCAGGATTATAACCTCTAATATACATCTACCAGACTACAGTGTCACTAGTCAAGTTGCGTCAGCTGAAGGAATCGTCCTGATATTCTGTAAATTTCGGAATCAAAATCTTGATAAGGAATTCTTTGTGACAAATCCAGAAAAACTTCGTTTCCCAGGAGGACTGCAAGTAAACTGGATAGCACGAGCTGGTGCAATAACTAATTTCGGGCACAACTCAGTTTTAATAAGGGGGAGGGGAGGCACACCAAACCTGGAGCTATCCAGATAATGGATGTGTCTCGAGATTCGACAATGAGCTACCTCCACTCAGATTGTGGCAAGTAACAAACTTTCAATTCAAAGGAAGTTGTCAACCACAATTCAACTAAGAAATTTTCTATAAAACACCCTGATTTCGCAAACTCACCGAGTTTGGATAATGACTCCGAGAGAGGTCGAGAGGTAATAAGAGTGGATTCAGCAGAAGAGACAGCCCTAACCATTCTGATGTTGTCGACTATTCTGGCATGCAACATATCTCGAGAGGGGACAATGGTGCTAATCCACGGGCCAACATTAACTGAGGGGATTATTCAGCTGGTTTCTTTCGCTAGCATTTCCGGTGGGGCGATCCCCCTACTGGTAGCATTTGCAACCAACCCGCACCATTGTTACTTAAGAGATTCTGAAGAGCTGCAAGTCAGAGGATGCAGTAACCGTTACTAAGGATTAATACAGCTTGCTAGAGCAACAGAAAACACCACGGCAGAGGGGACAATAGTGCTAATCCACGGGCAAACATTAACTGAGGGGATTATTCAGCTGGTTTCTTTCGCTAGCATTTCCGGTGGGGCGATCCCCCTACTGGTAGCATTTGCAACCAACCCGCACCACTGTTACTTAAGAGATTCTGAAGAACTGCAAGTCAAAGGATGCAGTAACCGTTACTAAGGATTAATACAGCTTGCTAGAGCAACAGAAAACACCACGGCAGAGCATTATCCTGGAAGCAAAAAAGTGCACTGTGAAAGAGGAGGGTGACAACCCTTTAAACTAGGAATTGAACTGTTCTGACCCCCCAGCGGCCAACGAAAAGACCTGCCAAGTACAGGATATCATGCTGGGTACTTTCAATATAAGATGTCCATACTGAATTTAAATATATAAAAGGGGAAAAGAATGTAGTGGTTGACTGGTTCATCCGCATTCTATTTGACATCAACAATACTACAGATTCAACAGACCTGCAAGGTGGCTGAGCCCTTTGCAGTATGCTTCCGAGAGGAGCTTATATGTTTATGCGTAGAGATCTTACAAATAATTAATGAGACTCAGATAGTAGAATTGGAACCTAGAGAGCTAGGTTATACTCCTGAAGAACTGCGTCACAATGAGATCCTCCTTACGAACCTACCGTTAGCTACTTACGGGGCAAAGAACCCAAAGGCCTTGATAGTCGACAGCAGACTGAAGAGAGTGTGACTGGGGACTATTTTTAAATCATAATCTGCTTCGAGTAAAGCATCTGAACCCATACCGCATGATTAAGAACATTTCCAAGAACAGTGATGTCCTGAAAGATATTATAAATACGAAAACATTTGTGGAAGACAATCGTAGGACATATAAGTTTCAATACAACTTTCTAGTTTCGTGGAAAGCACCAATTATGGATAATGGTAGCGCAGGACCAAGCGGCTTTGGTGACGCCAGCAGCTCGCCAACCGTGGGAGGGGAAAAGCTGTAAAATCGTTAAGCAGCAGTAGAGGGCAAATGAGTATATATATATTAAAGAAAATAAAAGTAATTTAGGCAACAATTCTCTACTTATAAAAAGACGACGCGTATATTGTTTACAAACAGAGCTAATGTAAAATGCATAGGAATATTTTTCGGTAATGATTCTGCCATATGAACTTTTGAGATTAGTTGAAACCTAGTGGGGACTTCTTGACTGATGTTTTGACAACATATTCAGCTAAGCAAAGGTTGTTAAATGTGAAAAAACAAAAACAAGATTCCGGACTTGGAAGCCAAGCTGCTGGACTATTTATGGAAAATATATGTAAAGATAAAAATTTAACTGTTATAAATATTAGCATTAATAAAAGCCATAGCAAACGTGTTTAAAGCACAGAATTTAAACACCATGG